CTGCATTTAAAATGAACATTTACCACAAATTAAAGGTATCTTATATTATTAGATATGTTATTATAAAACATGCTTTAGTTAAGGAGTTATTGATATTTTAAGTGTAAAATGATGATATAAAACCTTAATAAAAATACAATTTTAAGTACTAATCAATATGGTTATTATAAAATATATCATTTAGTAAGGAAAATTTATGATATAAACCTGTAATTTGTAGGAGGGACCATAGGCGTAGTGCATTAGCAGTAATAGGGGAGCACGAGTAAAGCTTCTATTGCAGGTGGGTGAATCACACCTATACTTTCTAGTTAAATTCTATGATTTGATATATTACAGATGTGAAATATGAATTACTGAATGTATATGTATTCAAGGTGAAAGGTTGTTGTGTGAATTGCCAAGTGATGAAATTATCGCTGACAAAGAAAATATGAGAAGCGAGATTTGAGATGTGAACTAGCATACATTTAGTACATGTTAAGATCTCGAGTAAAGGGATCGTCATGTATTGGCTAGTATACATTTAGTGTCTGTTAGAATCCTAGATAATGGGATCACTTTGCATCGACTCCTACGGAATGATGATGATGATACCAGTAAAATTGGTATCGGTAATGTGTTAAGCAAAAATAATCATGTTTGATTTTATAAAGTCTAAAATAGAGGTTGATAGTGGAAGAGGGAACGATTATTAATGTTGCATAAGGAAAAGATTATAATGAAAACCAGAAGGGAGAAGTGAATAAAATAAGAATCCATTTTACCCTTTTTAAATTATTAGATATTCATGTTATTATATTTATTATGATATTCACATTTAAATAATATGTATTTTGTTTCAAGATCATAGCATGCACGACAGGAGTAGATCCTAGCTTATGTTCCCTTCTTATAATCTAGGTTCAAGGAAGTATACCCTTTTATTTTGTAAATATGAAAATATTTGTATAACTTAATCTATATAATTAATGTTTAAACTTGATTAAATGAACTTAACTCTATAGTTCATATACCATATTTAATGTCTGTGTATTTATATTTTTATCCATCTATAACGATATTTTATTATATAATGTATATCATAAATTTTGTAGTTGATAGATGTGATAATATTTGTGGAATTGAAACCTAAGATAATTGGGTCGGGATTGAGTTATGAAATGCGATTTATTAGAAGTGTAAACAGTTTACATGTTAATAACTTGGGATCTTCCGGTGTAGGGGGGACTCCGTTGAAATTTTGGTAGATTTTAATACGAAGACCATGAACATATATAGAAAAAAATAATAATTACTCAGTTTTTTTGTTGACATGAAATTGTTATTTTTATCCTAAAATGAGGGATGTTACAAAGTGAGTAGCAAAAGCTTCAAAATAATATCCAACGCACGTATGGCATGATCGTCCATGGCTACATGTTTGATAAATGAAAAATAATCATCAAACAACTAAAATAAAAAGTTTGAGGAAAAAAATTAGAAGCTTTATATTTCTTTAAAAAGATCTCAAGGATAAAATATTTTAATGCATGTCATCACAAAAAAAATATATTAATTGTATGGCATACAAAAAGAACTAGAAATAAAATTAAATCATCGATGACACCAAAAAATCACGAGCATGTTGATCCTCTGATTCGTTAAAGCTTAAAAACAGTTGTTCGACAGATCAAAACAAAGATTCCACCATGCATTCTATTAATTTCTCACTGCATAATAGAGCAATGTAACTACAAAACACAATTCATATACAAATAATTAGATATTCAACCAATATCCAAAAACCTAATGCCACCAAACTAAAAGTAGAGACATAAAAAAACATGGTTAACTTAATAGATAAATTATTCTTAAATAATACTAATCTAAAGAAACATAAAGCTAGCAAAACATACAGAATTGCCAATAAAGCAAGTCTATATAATGTTTTCTTGTAATATCATAAATGAGAATACAACATGGAAACAAATATAATTGCAATCATGGTTATCAAGTAAGATAAATGGAAATTTCTTAGAAAGGCTTAAATAACTTATTAGGACTTGAAAGATTTTGAGCAAGAAAAACTAATAGCACAATCCTAAACCAGCAGAAGCAGTTGATAAATTATGCCAGAAAAAAAGATATGGTAAAGCATAAATTTGATAAGCCATAATCCATCAAAGTGATTGATCTAGCTAAAATGATATGGATTAAAGAAAAAAAATGCTAGGCAAGTTAGTTGCCAAGCCAATTGTTAAGCCTAGCCAATTAAAACTAGGTACAATATGTTGTAAAAAGTTAGAAGTCTACGCAAAACTTAGTATTGAGATAGCATATGAAATATGGTTATCTCGACAGCCAAGACTGGAAAAAGAAAAAGTAAGTTGCTGCAGTTGATTTAGTAGTAAATTATATTGGATTGAAGATATAAGAAAAATGAAAAGGTAAACAAAAATGAATCAAATATGCAATGGTAGTAAATAGAGTTGAGATCTAGATTATTACCTGTAAAGTTGAATTTAACAAAACAAGTTATAGTCAAATCTTATCAATAAAAAATATCAGTAAAAAAATAAAAGCTGCAAATCAGCAAATATATAACAACACCCCGTTTCAATAAAGAAATTTTAATCCTTTAGAAATAATACTATAAAGGCAACTAAGATAATTTAAGGTTTTCACTCTTTTCTTCTTAATTCCAGATTCAAAGGCATAAAAATAAAAAACTAAAAAGCAAACCGTTAAAATAATCAACAAAAAAAAACACTTTACATGTATGAAAGAAAGTAGTCAAGGCCTACATCTCTTATTTATTTTATATCTTGTTGGTTGTAAAGAGTGTATGGATCTAAAAATGATGTCATTTTCAAAAGTTAAATTTAAAAATATAAACTCTGTTGACCTATCAAAATAGGAAAAAGTAAAACAACCTTGCAACATATGAAAAAAAATCCTTGCAGCATATGAAAAAAAAGTGGTCCCTGGAAAGAGTTAATTAAAACCATGCACAAATAACATCACATTTAGTATCTCCAGCTATTAGAACCAAAAAACCAAATTCTAAAAAGGTAAGATAAGAAAATAAAAAACATTTTTTATGTAATATATGAAACTTGTTCACTCGAATAAAAATATCTAAAGCACTGCACTCTTATAATATAGAGACAGTAGCACATTGAATCAAATATTTCAACAATATGAACGCTCCCACCTGAATACTATCCACTTATGGAAGAAAAAAACTTAAAAACAATGGTTGATTGAGAGTCACTGGATAATACAATAATTTAATTCTGGATGGTTCATTATAAAATTATTATAGGCATAATAACCAAAAGACATATAAGAGATAAAAAGAGAAACCCAATAAATATATTAGTAGCAATTAGAATCAAGGAAGATTAAATTAAAGTTATAATTGACAATTACACTAAAAATTTTGATTCACATTGCCTTCATTATTATCTCAAAAACAATCCATGAAAACTAAAAAGAAATTAAAATTGTGAACGATAAAAATATCACTTCCCAGAAAGATTTAAAATCATATTTCAAAGTCTATTTAAACTATAGTCATGGATGTGTTCAAGGCCTGGCTTATCTGTCAAATTGAACTTCAATCTAAAATAATATGTAAATCATTTCTGCTTTCAAATGTTTATCTTGAACATTTAGATCCAAATCAGAAATAAGCCTATAATGAAAAAGAAATCCAATAAAATTATTAGGAAATCTCAACAAAATCCAATACTTGGCCTCAACAAAGCATATCTAATTTCACAAACTTTTTTATAATATATATATATATATATATATATATAATATGTCGACTTTTCTCTATAGGCTTTAACCTATAATTTATAAAGGAGAAATTTAAAAAAAGTTACTAAATAAATTATGAATTGGTTAAAAAAACATCACCACAACAAACATACAACTGTAAATTTCAAGATATAGATCCTGACTAACATTCATTTCACTCCAGAAAAAAACCGAAAAAATAATATATATGATATTAATAGATTTAAAGATTCTATGTTTTATTAATTCAAAAAGACCTGAAAGATAAAAAATCAAATTTAGTGGTTTTTTTCACCCAACTTGGTCATTCTTTTTTTTCTCTCTTATGTCTTCACCTAAAAAAAAAAAGAGATGTAAATATAGATAAACCATAATTACTATAAAAAAATTTAAAATGCCATCTTTGAAAAATCCCTTAACTTCAAACAAAAGTTTGTTGATGCATGAAGAAGAAAAAAAAAGCCACCTCTTAATAGAAACAAAACAACCCCAAAATTAATAGATTAAAATGAAAAGAGAGAGCAAGGGCTCGTGTGAAGAGGATAGAAAAAAAAAAAGAAAATTGATTTGTTTTTTCAGCTGGTGAGAGGAAAAAAAAACATATGGTGCCAATTAATCCACGTCTTCTAGGTATTAAAAATAGTTTTGTTTATAGTTTTAGAAAACAACTCGTGAGAATTAAAAAGAAATTAAAATACTGTATGAGTCCACAATAAAAAAAAATAAACACGGTTCAAAATGAACATGTGATTCAAAAGAAAAAACCTTGCCTGTAACCTATAATATAACAGGAAATTTCCAATTTATGGTCAAATGAAAAATAGAGCACCCTCGTAGCCATTGTTTCTCCTGTTACAGTTTTTGATTCTCAGTTATGTGGTTAGCTGGACATCAATAATTAGTCCCAGCACCTGTTAATATTTAGCCTTGACAATAGATAATTGCTAAGCCACAGCAAACAAAGTAAAAGGAACTCATAGAATCAGAAAAGCTACTGTAAAAACTGAAGTTCTCGTGTTCAAGCAATCTAGATCAAAATCTAGCCTAATGTAGAAGTAGAAGATTATAATCGAGACTAACAAAGAACCTATAGTCAGAGACACTGAGCATTAAGATCTAAGATCCTCTACTTTCACAAGAGCATTAGAAACTTCTGTAGCAAATCTATACTGAAGCCAGTCCTTCGCGCACACAAGGGCTTCCACGGTTTCAGGTCTCAAAGAACTTCGATACTCATCCAGCTCTTTGATCTCGGTATCAAATACAGAGTCAGGATCAGCAGTAGACACCTGCATGGTCAATATATCACGAGCCATTTTTGAAAGAACTGGATATTGGAGCCTGTTCTCTTCCCACCATTTCAGTACATCCATCTCTTGGAAGCGAGGCAACAAAGACTCTTCTAAATACTGCTCCAGCTCCGACTTCATATTTTGGCTAGTAGTCTCCACATATGCATCAAAATCTGTGAGCTCATTGTATGAAATTTCTTCAGTCTTCATGTTCTCAAAATTTCCATCTTCAGCATGAGCTGGTGTAAGAGGAAGAGGAAGCGCCGCATATTCAAGAAAAAGCTCATGGAGCGCATCATTAACAATCTTAATGTATTTGCTAGCTTCTTTACCATAGAATTTCACAAAACTGAACTCAATCAACTTCATCCTAAACCGAGGATCCAAGACTACAGCAATTGCCAAAGCTAGGATGCACTCCTTCAAATATTTGTCTATCTTTTCTTGCATTATTTCAGCAAGACTGATGACAAAGGGATCCCCATGACTTGTAATAGAATGATACAGCTCATGCATCTTCCAGACTTCATGGAAGAATGTCTTCTGGTTTGGGTTAGTTCTAGAGGCAAGAAAGTTGGCTGCATCAAAGAGAGGTTTCAAGTACGTGCATATAATGTCAACCCGCTTCCAGTCTTCCATGGATGGAGCCTCTTTGTAATCAGGATCGGAAGTATCTAGGCAAGAAAATACTTCCTTCAACTCTGAAGCAGCAACCAGCATATGATACGTTGTGTTCCATTGAGCTTGGTTGTCAAGAGATAGGTCTTTTTCACTGGGGACTTGAAGCTGTTCCTTGAGCTCAAGGAACTTTTGCTCATGGAATTCTGAGGTCTTCACATACTTTACACTGTAACGGACTTTCTTAATGATCTCTCGCCCTGCCCAGAGCACATCTTTTGCAAAGTTGCTTAAAGTACGAGCACTGCAGTTCCCAAGGATTAACTGACCATTGATGATAAGGGGATTTTTGACAGAGAGTAGAGATCTAAGGTTTTGAAGCCCAGGTTCACCCACTGGATGATTGAAAGTGATAGAAAATAGCTTGCCTTCCAAACTCCAATCAGATAGGCAAGTAGCAACAGCATGGCTAAGAGCTGCATCGGAGTTAGGGTTTGGTTCCATCACCACATTGAGAATCCGCCTCTGAGGCTTCCAATAACCATCAATGAAGTGTCCTGTTATAAACACATAACCTAAGCTTTGGCTAGATGTCCATACATCCAGTGTAAGGCAAACACGTCCAGGCAAACCCTCAATGAACTTCATAACATTTTGCTTTTCCCTCAAGTAACTTGAGACACAATCTCCTTGGACAATATTAAAGCTCACCATGTCAAATCTGGGTTCAAGACTCTTGAGAAAAGTTACAAATCCAGAATGTTCGACCATGTGAAGAGGGTAATCATGGATTATCATCATTCTGGCAATTTCAGGGCGGCACTGGTCTGAATGAAATGAAATGTAGGCAGAGCTATGGGATCTGTAGTGACGTCTTGGTGGATCAGACATACTACCATTTCCATTCATCCCTGGTGTACCAGGTGTTTGTTGATTCCCCTGATTGCGTAGTAGTGCTAGACAAGTTCCCTTGGCAATGTGACGTTTAAGATGGCTGGTACCAGCTACTTTTGAACCTGTGCTGTATGCAAAGCTTTGCTTGCACTGCTTACAGAATGCCCTTCTACTTTCAGCGCTTACAGTTTCTATGGTGAAGTGTTCCCAAACCATGGACTTCCTTTTCCTCCTCTTGTTAGGCTGTGTTTCAGGAGCAGGCATAGAATGATTGTTTTCTTCAAATGTTTCCATCTGGTATTCTGGAGTAGTAATCAGCTGATTATTCTCTTCAAGGGTTGCCAGCTGGTATTCTGGAGTAGTAATCAAGTGATTATTGTCTTCAAGGGTTGCCATCTGGTTTTCTGGAGGTGTCATCAGCTGATTATTCTCTTCAAGTGTTGCAATCTGGTTAAAAAAAAAAAGAGTTCCTACTTTATGCAGCAAAATGAAAATGAAACATGACTTCACATTTATTATAAGATTAACCACAGCATAAAATACTGATTTCAATGTGGTGATATCACAAATGGATTTCATGCAGGAAGCATGGACAATTCAAATTGCAAGGAGATATACTCATACAGAATATTTTCAACATGCTATGCAGACAACCACTGATATGAATGAACGGAGGCAAACAAACTAGAGAGAGATCGATTTTGGGCTTGGAAACAAACCCAAAACCCTAACTGGACTAAAAGGGAAACATTTTGTTTAAGGATTCGAAACTTTTAAGGAGATAGGCAAGCATGATAGTTTTTTCCCCCCCTTCTTATGAGTATATATATATGGCCTTTAGGATCCATGGTTGCTGTTAAATACTATACTAGAATTAAAATTATTGTGACTCGCGTACCATCCCTTCAATTGGCATGTGAATTTAGGACTCTTTCTTCTTTCGGAAACAGGCATTTAGCCCACATTTAATCCCCCCCCCCCCCAAATTATCATTGTGATTCTTTTCACCATACGGCAAACCCTAAAAATAACAAAGCAAAATTCTAAATAAATAAAATATTGAGGGGTGAAATTGAAAAAAAAAAGTTTCCAAAACAAAAGAAATAACAATTAAAAGAATGTAAATTAAATTTGATAGGAAAAAAATAAAATTGAAAATGAATATCAAGGGACTAAGAAGAGGGAGGTATCGAAAAATGAAATGAAAACTGAAATTGAATATTAAGGGACTACAAAGAGGGAGGTATCAAAAAATGAAATGGGTCGGAATGGATTTCTTTTAGTATCATACCAGCTCACAGAAAATTCCAAACACAGCATAGTAGGGAAAACATCCATGTGGTGCATTGTAAATAGATTGAAACACATACCTAAATGGGTATTATGAGATGGTAATTCATTCCCAACAAAAATCTATTTATACATTGATGCAAACATGATTAGGATTCAAGTAAGCAATTCCAGGATCGTTTTCAAAGGGATAGAAATACAATCTAGTAAACACATTACTGAGTTAACAGCTTTCCAACTTACATATGGCAGGATAGAAGACCAGATATAGCTCAAGAAATCAACAGAAACAAACAATGACAGTATGATACTAATACAAGACTGAAATGACAGACCAAATTACTCCACTGAATTTCGATACAATAAAATATGCACACATAAATTATCAAAGAAATAACTATCATATAAAACTATCCAATGCCCACAACTTCAAGTGTCTCAGAGATGACCTCTGCAATGCTGAACACTTGTGGAATTATACCAGTGATTGCTACTGTGAAAGCAGGAGAAGATTCTTATGACTGTACATAGCATCCTTTCACAATGAACTAAATGTATAGACTGCAGCACCACTACAAATCTAAATATTGCATGTAAAATTCAATTCAGCAACATAATTTTTCCCTTGGAAATCACTATCTTCTGATAATTCAAGAACAAACCCATCTTCACACAGAGCCAAAACCAAACTAATAGCACTGCCTCCCTCAAGCCAATATTACAAAAACATAACAAAAATAACATACCTCAATGTTATTAAGCACTTCAAGCAACTTCTTTGGATCTGGATAACCATCTGTACTATACTCCGCAATAGCAATATTATGAAGTGCCTAATAAAGCATAACCCAAAGATTAAAAACTTAAAAGGAATGAAAAAAAAACGAAAAGAAGAGAAAATTCTCACATCAATTAAATATTCCAAATACCCTAATACATTGCATAACTTCAGCATTCGCGTGCCAGCCTAGATACTGTCTTTAAATTTGAAGTAACTATATGAAGTGCAAAATTAAGCTTTTCAAGTTAATTAACTAAACTAATACATTGCATAACTTCAGCATTCGCATGCCAGCCTAATACTGTCTTTAAATTTGAAGTAACTATATGAAGTGCAAAATTAAGCTTTTCAAGTTAATTAACTAAACTAATACATTGCATAACTTCAGCATTCGCATGCCAGCCTAATACTGTCTTTAAATTTGAAGTAACTATATGAAGTGCAAAATTAAGCTTTTCAAGTTAATTAACTAACTTAATCTAAAAATATACTAAGAAATAAAAAGCAGCAACTAAATTAAGTGAGTTAATAATTAACGAACTTAATCTAAAATTCATTAAAATTAAAAGGCACCAACTCAATTGAGTTAAATCACAAAATTAACAGTCCATTACAACATTTTACTCGAAGTTAACCTAATTTCTAATCAAATAAAATCCGACAAAAAAAATAAGTGACTTTATATTATTTGTGTAATTATCACCTTTGGATCGTCTTCCTTTTTCTGCTTTAGCTGATACAAAACCTCAAGGCACTCATTGAACCGGCGAGAGTTATAGTGTAACCAAGCGTCTTTGGCAAGCGTGGCAGTGACGGAAAGGATAGGATCCTCTTCTCCTCCTCCAACGCCGGTGGTGGTGCCGCTGCCGCCGCTCGACGAGACGTCTCGGTTCGATGTCGAATCTCGTGCGTCCATAATCAGATCCAAAAAAAAACCTAACGGTCACGCTTTGCGTCTTTTTTTTGGTTTATTTGAACTCTCGCTATCTAATCTAATCTATCAATGTGTAATTGCGACTGAACCGTATGGAAATGTAAAAACCCCTAACTTATGGAAATTGAGATTTAAAAAAAAAAAAAAAAGGAAGTTTTTTTAAGTTTTTGGGAGTGTTGAAAATACAGAAAGGGCCCTAGGGTTTTTGGGATTTTGCAGAGAAGGACAGTTAGCGAAGAGGGAGAGAACTCAAATGTGATATAAGGATAGAAAGAGGAAAGTACTTAATTTTTATTTTTATTTTTTCTAGATTGAGGTTAAAAAATGAATTTTTGAGTAATGGAGTTTTAATTGGGTATTTTAGTGGAGTAAGTGTGGAAGCATAATTGATTTTGTATTTTTGTTGTTTTGAATTATTTTTTTGGTTAAGTTATGTTTTAGTCGCTTTTGATTCAATAATGTTTCATTTTAGCTTTTATAAGTTTTGAATTTTTCAATAAAATTGAATATTTTAGAATCCATAACTGTTTAATAAGAAATGAGATATGGGCAAGATTGGCTTTATGATATAGGCTATTTTAGGGTTGGATTGGACTAGTTTTTAGAGGGATGGTTCATACTTCATAAGGCATATAAACTTTTTATAGGCAAGGGAGAGAGTAATGAATAATTTTGGCGGGGCATGTTCTTCCAACTTTAGACTAATACTTTTATTTTGTTTTCAAAAGAAGTAGAAGTCTTAACAATTTGTTTAGGGAAATTTGTCATGTGTGCTAATCTTTTATATCATATGCTATTGTAGTTTCCTTGACTGATAAGAAAGGAAGGAAAGCAATTTTGCATATCTAAAAACAAATTATTTTTTTGTGCATATTTAATATTATAGTGCAAGGTGTTTTTTATTTGAAAATGTATCAAAATAATTTTTTTAATTTTTAATATCAGCACATTAAAATTATTTAAAGCACTAAAAATAAATAATTTTTTTAATTTTTAATATCAGCATATTAAAATTATTTAAAGCACTAAAAAATATAAATTTGATGTTTTTCAAAGTCAGATATTTTACACGTAATTCCAAATCTAAAAATAAAGGTGTTGAAAAAGCAAAATTCAAGATTTGATGTGAGTTTTAAAATGACAGAATTTGCAATGAAAAAGGTGGCGCTGCTTAATTTGAAGATTCCATGTTCACATTTATGGTAGGAAAAAAAATATTAAACATCAAGAAAAAAATAAAATTTTACATGAATTGTTGGATCCAAAGTTATCAAAAATGCTTTTTTAACATGACATAAAATATATAATATAAACTCAAATTGTAAACTTGAATCATAAAATCAAAGGTAAAATAATTTAACTAATTATATATTGATAATTTCAGTCAAGTAATAAATAATAATATAGCATAATTAAAATAAAAGGTGAAATAAACAATACAAAAGTTCTAACACCTTAAAATATATAGTTAAAATAAAAATTCCTACATAGTTTAAATAACTTAAAAATGCAATATAATTGTGTCCATAAAACTTAATTAACTAAAAATTAACAAACTTAAAACATGTAAAAATAACTAATCTAAGGAATATCTCTCTTTTAGATGAGATTTTAAACACCAATGCAACTACATCATAATCTAAGTAAAGAAACTCACCTTAACTCCCCCACTCTTTTTAACATACTATGACACAATGACAATTCCATTTGTTGTTACCCATTCTATAATAGTTAGTATGACTATATGAATGAAAAAAAGAACAACATTATTACTCTTTATTTGGCTACCCATTCTAACACTATGAACAATACTTGTTACATGAAGTGAGTATTGTGGCACTCCTCAATTGGTAGCGATAAACAAAGTGATCACAAGAAAGGAAAGAATGGAGGATGGGGTTTTGCTTTTAGTTTTTGTTTCAGTTGCTGCTTAGTCTATGGTAATGGTTGACATGTTATGGTGTTGTGTTGGATGAGTTGGAGCTATTTTGAGTCAATAGCGACTCAATTTTTGTTAATGATTTCTAAACCAATAGTGAATTGTGTTTGCTGACGATTCCATGCGTCAGCCGTGAACTCATTATCGCTGATGATTTCTTAGTCGGTTGTGTCTTGGTTTCTGTTGACAATTTCAAAACATGTTGTGGATTATGTTCAGTGATGATTTCATACGTCAGTCGTGAATTTGTTTTTGCTGATGAATTTTAAGTCAACGATAAGTCAGTTTTCATTGATATTTTTTGAACCAGTAGTGAATTGTGTTTGTTGATGATTTCATATGTTAGTCATGAATGTGTTATCGCTGAAGATTTCTAATTTGCCAACAACTTTTATTGATGATTTTTGAACCAGCAGTGAATTGTATTTATTGATGAGTCCTTACGATAGTTGTAAATTCATTGTCACTGATGATTTCTGAGTTGACTAGGACTTAATTTTCGTTAGTGATTTTTGAACCTATTGTGGATTGTATTTGATGATGATTCCATGTGTCAGAGGAGAATTTGTTTTCAATGACGAATTTTGAGTCGACAACGTCTCAGTTTCTATCGATGATTTCTGAACCAGAAGTGAATTTTATTTGTTGATGATTCCAAGTGCTAATCGTGATGTGTTTTCCTTGATGATTTCTAATTTGATAGCGACTTAATTTATGTTGATGATTTTTGAACTAACAGTGAATTATGTTTGCTGAAGATTCCATGCATTAGCTGTAAATTCATTTTCACTGATGACATTTGAGTTGACAACCACTTTGTTTTCGTTGACAATTTCTAAATTAGTAGTGAATTGTGTTTACTGACAATTTCCAATTCGAATGCAATTGAGTTTTTCTTAATGATTTTTAAACCAACAATGAATTGTGTTCGATGATTATTTCAAGCAAATTAACCTCCTTGTGGTTCGACCCCGGTCTTGCCGGGTTATTTATTACTTCGACACTCCTGCACTTGGGAGAAGACATCAACCTTTTAGTCGTGTCAATCACCCATGAATTTATTTTCGCTAACGAATTTTAAGTCGATAACAACTCAGTTTTCATTGATGATTTCTAAATCAATAGTCAATTGTGTTTGTTAACGATTCCTTGAATCAACCATAAATTCATTTTTGCTGACAAGTGTGGATTGGATAGTGACTGAATTTTTGTTGATGATTTCTGATTCAACAGTGAATTGTGTTCATTGATGATTCCATATGTAAGCTGTGAATTCATTTTCGCTAATGATTTATGATTCGATAGTGACTCTAATGATTTTTGACCAAGCAGGGAATTATGTTAGCTGTCAATTCAATTCTTCACTATAAATTTGTTTTCGCTAATGAATCTTGAGTAGGCAGCGACCCAATTTTCGTCGATGATTTCTAAACCAGTAGTGAATTGTGTTTGCTAACGATTCCATAGATCAACTGTGAATTCATTATTGCTGATTATTTCTGATTCGACTGCTACTTAGTTTTCATCGATGATTTCTAAACCTGTAGTGGATTGTGCTCGCTGATGATTCCTTGCATCAACAGTGAATTCATTTTTAATGATGAATTTTGAGTAGACAACGACTCAGTTTCCATGATGATTTCTAAACTAGCAGCGAATTTTGTTTGTAGACGATTTTATATGCAAACCATGAATTTATTATCGGTGATGATTTCTAATTCCACAACAAGTTAGTTTTTATTGATGATGTTTGAACTAGCAGTGTTCACTAATGATTCCAATTGTCAACCATACATTTGTTTTCACTTACTCATTTTGAGTCAACAACGACTCAGTTTTTGTTGAGGATTCCTGAACTAGCAGTGAATTGTGTTTGCTGAAGATTCCATGCATCACCATGAATTTGTTGTCGCTGATGATTTCTTAGTAGGTTATGTCTTAGTTTTTGTTGATGATTTCAAAACCTATAGTGGATTATATTCAATGATGATTTCATGTGTTAGCCATGAATTTGTTTTCGCTGATAAATTTTAAGTTGATAGTGACTCAGTTTTTCTCAATGATTTCTGAACCAACAACGAATTTTGTTTACTAACAATCCCATGCATTAGCCATGAATTTATGCTAACAATTTATAATTCAACATCAACTGAGTTTTTCTTGATGATTTTTGAACCAGACGTGAATTGCATTCATTGATGATTCCAAGCATCACACGTGAATTCGTTTTTGCTAATGATTTTGAAGCATCACACGTGAATTCGTTTTTGCTAACGATTTTGAGTTGGTAACAACTTAATTTTCATTGATGATTTTTTAATCAACATTGAATTGTGTCTGTTGACGATTCCTTGCATCAATTGTAAATTCATTTTTGCTGATGATTTTGGATTGAATATTGACTTAGTTGTCATTGATGATTTTTTATTCAACAATAAATTGTGTTCATTGATGATTCCATATGTCAGCTATGAATTCATTTTTGCTGACCATTTCTTATTCAACAATGACTTAATAATTATTTTTAAACCATCAGGAAATTGTGTTAGCTTGCAATTTCATCTGTCAACCATGAATTCATTTTCACTAATGAATTTTTAGTCGGCAACAGCTCAATTTCTTCAAGGATTTTTGAACAAGGAGAGAATTGTGTTTGTTGATGATTCCATGCATCTACCGTGAATTCATTGTCGCTGATGATTTCTGAGATGGTCGCGACTGAGTTTCAGTTTACAATTTCTGAACTTGTAGTGGATTGTGCTAACTGACGATTTCTTGCGTTTATGGTGAGTTTATTTTTTATGATAAATTTTGAGTTAACAACAACTCAGTTTGTGTGACAATTTCTGAACCAAAAGTGAATTTTGTTTGCTTATGATTCCATATGCCAACTATGAATTTGTTATTTATGATGATTTTTTATTCGACAGCAACTTAGTTTTTGTTGATGATATTTGAACTAGTAGTGAATAATGTTCGCTGATTATTCCATGCGTTGCCTTAAATTCATTTTCACTAACACATTTTGAGTCAACAACAACTAAGTTTCTGTCGATGATTTCTAAATCAGCAGTAAATAGAGTTTGCTGATGATTCCATGTGTCAATGGTGCATTCATTATCATTGAATATTTTTGAGTTGGGTGCAACTCAGTTTCCATTTACGATTTCTAAACCTTGAGTGGATTGTGCTCACTGACAATTCCTCACATCAATTATTATTATTATTATTATTATTATTACTATTGTTGTTGTTGTTATTGTTGTTTTATAATTGTTGTTTATAATTTTTA